TACAAGAAAGACTAATTCAGCTGTTTTTATATACTTCTGTCAATACTATTATACTTTTTGTTATTTACAAGACTGTAATGTCCACCTGCACACCTGACTGTTACTATTGTAACAACTGTTTACATGCATCTTGCACTACTCACCTTGACTGAATATTGATTTGCACTGCCGATTGTTTACATATACATTTGCAATACCGTACTTTAAGTGTAATATGCAATTACCTTCCACTGCAATTTAATTTAGATAGCTTCTGTCCAAACTTTATTTATTCATTTTATAGTAATAGCCATCTGTAAGATATTCATAATACATATTCACCTGCAATCTCTGTTAAAATAACAATCCTCTGTATATTATGCTATTGTACATATCTGTGAAAACCCTTTTTATAGTAATATCCACCTGTATATATTATAATGGGTACATATCCAGCTCTAAATTTAGTTCATAACACTAGTTATCTATGTATATATTATATTCATAGGACAAATCTATCAGTAAAAATCTGTTTATAATGGTATTTACCTCTATATGTATTCAGTAGAAACCCATGTCCTGTATTTATGGAACCATTATTTATCCTGCACTTGCTGCTATTGCACTTCTGGTTAGACCTAAACTGCATTTTGTTGCCTTGTACCTGTGTGTTGACAATAAAGTTGAATCTAATCTAATCTAATGAATCTAATCTTTTACTCAGTGTTCATAAAAACTTCAATGGAGAGGTCAGACTCATAATAACTAATTGATTACAGCATTATAATGTTTGATATTAAGGAAATGTTTGTTGCGTTCATGTGGTGGATGAAAATCATTTAAAAATAACCTTATATGAATATTAGAAAACAAACTGATTTGTTTGTTGAAAGTAGCAAATACAATATAAAAAAAAATATCCACAAAAAATTGCACCCAAAGATTTTTGCCATCGCAAGGAGCAAGGAAAAAATATTTTGTAAACAGACATTTGAAGGAAATGCAACCAGGAAATGCAACTTCTTATCAATTAAAAGGTTTTCAGAGTGATTTAGATATATAGATATATATTTTTTATCAAGAAGTTCTTCAAAGTTTCACTTATGGATTGCCATTTTTCTCATTTCAATTTACAAATCACACTTTTTTTCTTGCAGGGAACAACATTCATTCCATACTGCTGAACCATTTAGAACAATAGAACCTTACAACTATAAAACAGAGCAATGTTCAAATTGGTTCCAAAAATCTAGCTGTAAATAAACCCTCCTAACTATGTTTGCAGGAATTGTGCAGCCCTGCTCAGTGCAGTGTCAGAATCTGATGAAAAGTAAAGATGGCAGCCTGGGTGGGGGTGCAGTTTGCAACAGTGCTGACTTCAAAACATGGAGATCATGGGGTCAACCTGAGACCTTTTTGTGTTCAAATTATTAAAGTTGGAGAAGAAGTTACCTATTTTTTATTGGTGTTTCATAGATAATTAAATACAGTTTATTAATACATTTTGAGTAAATTTACCCCGTATTAAATTTTTTTGTTAAACTGTATTTTTTTTGTCTTATAACAATTTGTATAAGTTTTGTAGGGATTACATAAAAACTGAGCTGACAGGTTAAGCAGCTCCTTTTCTCTATTTCCATAAATTTAAGCATAAAAAACAGTTATAATCTAAAAAATTGAAAAATGTTCTGTTTTTAATCTAAGTGGTTATTTAATGCTTTTTGTTCTAAATCTTTTAGTTAGAGGATCAAAACTGCAGTACTTTTACTCAACCTACTGCTAGATTCTCATATTGAGAATATACAGTAAATACATACAGGCCTCTTTTATGAGGGGGGGTGGAGAAAACTACAGAATCAGATTGCATTATGGTTTAAATTAGGCATTTGGAGTAATGGGATTAAAGCCGAGTGGGAGGAGGTCTCCTGAGTCTGCTGAACCCACAGGTGACAGACTCACACTCAAAGGCCCCAGGCAGTGTCAGCGTCTCCGCTGCTGTGAGGTATCAGCTCCGGTTCCTGGCTCCCTGAAGCCGCATCTTGTCGATTTGGAGTGTGAATCACGGCCCGTTTGGAGGAAAGCTGAAAGCCTGCTTTTGTTTTCTTTGTATCTGCAGGCTGGGACGTTAGAACCGGATAGAAGGTCTCTTTAAAAGTCACACAACTAGGGCTGCACCTATCAATTATTTTAGTGATCAGTTAATCAGTCGATAATTTGTTCTATCAAATTACCTTAAAAGATACACTTTTAGTACATGAAAATTTCTAAACAATCATTTGGGATATTAAAAAACTGTACTGCACATTTTAAACATAAAAATACACCATATATATATATATATATATATATATATATATATATATATATATATATATATATATATATATATATATATATATATATATATATATATATATATATATAAACAACACAAAATAGCTTCAATCAAATCAGGCTTCTGTAAACTGTCCACTTAGGAAGCAACACTGATTGACAATCAATTTCACACACTGTTGTGCAAATAAAATAGAAACCAGGATGTAAACGATTGGCAATTAGCAAGACACACTCAGTAGAGCAGTGCTTCTGCAGATGGGGACCATAAACCACTTCTCAGTAGCCATGCTTTCTGGCTGATGTTTTGGTCACTTTTGAATGTAGGTGGTGCTTTAACTCTCCTGGTTGCATGATATGGACTCTTCAACCCACACAAGTGGCTCAGGTTGTGCAGCTCCTCCAGTATTGCACATCAATGTGAGCTATGGCAAGGAGGTTTGAGCCCTGCGAAACGACCTCGAGCCCATTTCTCCAAGTTAATGTTCTAATAGCTCAGACAAGCTTACTGTGTTCAAACGTCCGCCTTAACCCCATGATCCCTCAATCACTATATAGAGCAGAGACTTTATAGCGAACTCAGTTAACGGACCGTTCAGACAGGTGATCACTGATTGTTTGCTCCCAGTTGGTCACATAACTCCTCCTCCACTGCGTGGTGCCTGCACCATCTTTGTTATGAGTCGCCGTTGTCGGGTAGTGACAGCCTATGGCGACACCGGGCCGCTGTGACAGCAAATCCCATAATGCTTTGAGAGGAGAGCTGTCTGTGCAAAGCATTCCGGGATATATCTGCATATTCTTAGACCTTTCTTTTCTTCTCATACACTTCTTAATTTGATGCTGGTGTGCTGAAAGATTTCCTTATTTATCAAACCAGAGCCAAAGTATAACTTCACATGATGCTCGACATTCCTCATTTTAGGGAAGAAAGTGCTTCTGTAGGAGTTGTCATAAATACAACTTGTTTCACATAATTGTAGGACTTTATTCTCTTAATATTACCACTTTATTTTTGTAATATTCCGACTTTTTTCTCTTAATATTGCAACTTTATTCTCGTAATGTTACGACTTTATTTTAATGTTACGAATTTATTCTTGTAATGTTATGACTATTCTAATTGTGACTTTATTCTCGTAATTTTACGACTTTATTCTCGTAATTTTACGACTTTATTCTCTTAATGTTACGACTTTATTCTCGTAATGTTACGACTTTATTCTCGTAATGTTACGACTTCATTCTCGTAATGTTACGACTTTATTCTCTTAATGTGACGAATTTATTCTCGTAATGTTAGGACTTCATTCTTTTAATGTTAGGACTATTCTAGTTGTGACTTTATTCTCGTAATTTTACGACTTTATTCTCTTAATGTTACAACTTTATTCTCTTAATATTACGACTTTATTCTCTTAATTTTACAAATGTATTCTCCTAATGTTAGGACTTTATTCTCGTAATGTTACAAATTTATTCTCATAATGTTACGAATTTATTCTCATAATGTTAGGACTTCATTCTTGTAATGTTATGACTAATTATATGACTAATTTAATTTTAATTTTATGACTATTCTAATTGCGACTGCATTCTCGTAATTTAACGACTTCATTCTCGTAATTTTATGACTTTATTTTCTTAATGTTACGACTTTATTCTCTTAATGTTACAAATGTGTTCTCCTAATGTTAGGACTTTATTCTCGTAATGTTACGAATTTATTCTCATGTTACAAATTTATTCTCATAATTTTAGGACTTTATTCTCCTAATGTTACAAATTTATTCTCGTAATGTTAGGACTTTATTCTTGTATTGTTATGACTCTATTCTCGTTATTTTATGACTTTATTCTCTTAATGTTAAGACTTTATTTTAGAAATAGAAGAAGAAAAATCTCTATCCTGAAAAAACAAACGTCCCAGCCCTGATGTTCTAGTACTTCCCTACACAGGTGTCTGTTCCTGTTCCACTCGCTGTCAGTGAAGTATGAAAAAGCGGACACATAATAACCCCCCAGGCTCGCTCTCATCCCCTCCTCCTCCTTTTAGGAAGGAGAGGACGTTTACTTCAGCAACTATAAACATTCCAGGCACTTCCCCAGATCTAATTTTACAACCCAAACAGAGCATATTTGACTTCTCTGCAGTTGGCTCGCAGTACGTTGGCCCCTGATAACAATCCTCCTGTGCTGACGGAGCCACAATGCATCTTTAATCATCAGTGAACAGCGCAGGCAGCAAATCATTCAAATATAATGTGTCAGTTGAGATCCACCCTGCACACTTCCCTTATTACTCATTCGTTTTATGTGATTGTCTAAAAGTGATTTTACAGGTCAGACTGAAATGTTTTGTATGGTCAGGAACAGAACTAACCATCAGGGTTGGTTATTTACATGTTTGGTGTCATATACAGTAAATCCGAGGTGTTAATTTGTCTTCAGCCAAAGTTTCACAGTTCTGGGAAATTCGGGTTTTAAAATTCCCACAGGCCTTGAACTAAACAGAATTTAAATGCCCCAGCCACACATTCTCATTCATGCCGCTTTAAAGCCCCTTTGTTACATTTTGTTGTCACTCTGTGTATCACTTATCACCCCTATAGTGCTCGTTCTGTTGTTTCCTACTGCATGGCGTGTTTATTTTACACCTCTTCGGCTGCTTTCTTCTCCCCACTCACCGACTTGCAGGACGTTGTCCACGCAGCCGCTCTCCAGCAGAGCGATGCCCCGTCTGAACGGCAGCCGCGTCTCGTCGCCGCTCTCCCCGCCGCTTCCGACCTCTTCTCCGGCGCCGGTGTTGAACGACGAGTACATGCAGATTTCCCGTTCGCTCCTGGGAAAGGACCAGTACACGATCCGCCTCTGAACGGGTTCCGGAATCCGCTCGAAACGCTCCTCCACCCTCTGAAACGGCCACTTCTCCGCGACTTTCCTCGCCGCGATGTCCAGGAGAGACTCCGGACTCTGGGTTCGGCTCGATTCGCCCTGGTTGGCAGCAGAGCCGCCGCCGCACAGAGCCCCCGCCGCGGCCCGATGGCCTTGCCTACATGTTGCGCCGAAGCCCGGTCTACAGCAGAGCCGCTTGGCCGGGGGCTGCTGGACGCGCTCCGCCATCATAGCTCCGCTTTCACAGCGCCGGGGGAAGTCAACGCACCATATGAAGCGGGCGGTGAAAAGAAAATGTTACCCAGGGTTTGATTGTTGGCCGTGGATAGCCAAAGTATCCTTTTATGGAAACATGGGGGCAGGGCTTTCCCAGCTTGTCAAACCGCTTTGTTGACAAATTAAACGAAGGCGGGGTCTGCTCGGTTTGTCCTGCTCTGCCAGGGGAAAAAAAAGAAAAACCGTCCGCCGCGTTTATTCTTTGTTTGCGACACCTGAAAAGTTGAATACAAAACGACTTTTTAAAGAGGTCGTTATGATAACTAAAAGGCCAAAAAAAGAAGAGACGTTTAAAAACGTCGGCGGTAGGAAGGCAGAGAGCAGTCTTTGTCTGGCAGCGGCTTGATGCTGATCGCCTGTCGGCGGTTATTGGCCTGTCAACACCAGAGCCTCGTGGTTTTAGGGGGAGGGGGCAGTGAACGTAGCACCGCCCTGTGACATTTACGCTCCACTGGAATGTAAAATGTTTAAAGAGGCCCGGCTATGGAGGACCAATCCTGCCATAATTAAAAATAAATACAGAAATAAATAAATGCTCCGAAAATACTAAGCATACAATTAATTCCACCATAAAAATACAATAAACAAATAAATGTAAATAGAAATTAATTCAAAATAAATAAATAAATAAGTGCTCCAAAAATAATAAGCATACAATTAATTCCCCACTAAAAATATAATAAACAAATAAATGTAAATAGAAATTAATTCAAAATAAATAAATAAATAAGTGCTCCAAAAATAATAAGCATACAATTAATTCCCCACTAAAAATACAATAAACAAATAAATGTAGATAGAAATCAATTCAAATAAATACAGAAATAAATAAATGCTCCGAAAATACTAAGCATACAATTAATTCCCCCATAAAAATACAATAGACAAATAAATGTAAATAGAAATTAATTCAAAATAAATAAATAAATAAGTGCTCCAAAAATAATAAGCATACAATTAATTCCCCCCTAAAAATACAATAAACAAATAAATGTAGATAGAAATCAATTCAAATAAATACAGAAATAAATAAATGCTCCAAAAATACTAAGCATACAATTAATCCCCCCTAAAAATACAATAAACAAATAAATGTAGAGAGAAATTAATTCAAAATAAATACAGAAATAAATAAATGCTCCAAAAATACTAAGCATACAATTAATCCCCCCTGAGAATACAATAAACAAATAAATGTAGATAGAAATTAATTCAAAATAAATACAGAAATAAATAAATGCTCCAAAAATACTAAGCATACAATTAATCCCCCCTAAGAATACAATAAACAAATAAATGTAGATAGAAATTAATTCAAAAGAAATACAGAAATAAATAAATGCTCCAAAAATACTAAGCATACAATTAATTCCCCGCTAAAAATACAATAAACAAATAAATGTAAATAGAAATTAAACTATACAGTGAGACATAAATGTGTAAATATCTCTTTTAATTAGCTTCTTTGTTTGTTTTTTGCTTTTGTAATAATTACCTTATTTATTTATTGTCTGTTTTAATCTTCAACTTTATATATGAACTACTTATTTATGTGCATTTTGTATTTTTTTTACCCTATTTATTTCTTCAATGCTATTTTTTTCTGCCTCTCATTCCTACATTTCTGTATGCATTTCTGCCTCATTATGCAAATGAGGAAGACCGGTGTCTTAGAGGGTATTTAGAGGGTCTTATTTATTTATTGAACATTTATTTATTTATGTATTTATTTTTAAATATGGTAGAGCTGGTCCTCCATAGAGGCCCATCTCTTCCTCTTAGGGATGTAAAAAGTGCACATGTTATGTTATAATTATGAGATTTTAAAGTCATAAATGGAGCTTAGGCGAAAGTTCATCTGAAGAAACTAATTGCTTTCCTAAATCCACCTGCGACAGCCAATCAGCTTTCATGCCTCCATGAAAGCTAATCGGCATCCAAAGTTCATCTTAAAAGGCCTCCAATCCGCATCTTATCTGCTCCTAGTGCGCAGGCAACGGATGCTCTATGTGACTTCATTCAGATGACACCGTTTCATCCCACCTCCAGCCTCTCCTCCACCATCATAGCTAAAGCTTCATCAAAGTTTCTTTCCTCCTTGACTTCTACTGCGTTCCCTGTCTCATTTCAACCGGTCCATTAGAAGACCGCCATTATGAGCCTGGTTCTGCCAGAGGTTTCTTCCCAATGGGGAGTTTTTCCTCTCCACTGTTACTTCATGCTTGCTCATCATGGACAGGTTCTCTCAACCTGTGTTATCCAAACTGGACTTCCATCTTCCAGGTCTCTGGGTGAAGCTCTAGTATCAGCTCACGCAGTCCACTGGATCTCCCCATAAAGCTCAGCAGACCGTCTCTCTAACCAGCAGTCTACAGACTGACCAACTTCATCTATCTCCACTCCTCCACCAGTTTCAGGCCTGGGGAGGAAACAATCCTATTCTTTACTCCTGTTCATGCATATCTATCAAAATACAGCGCTATGTTTCTTGCCGAGGTCTGAGCACCAAAGACAAAGTAATTGTATCAATAAATTTCTCCTAATTGTCTTTTCTCTTTGTGTGAGTTTTTCAGATTGAAATATCATATATAATGTTACAAATTTGAGTAAAAGAAAAATGGGTTTCAAAGTGATAAGGCTGAAATTCAAATATAATTTTCTACTTTTAAATTAACAATGATAAAATATTAAGTCATAATTTAAACTTTCAGTCTTATTTATATGACTTCACCACCCAAGCAGGGATAAGGGTGATGGAAAATGGATGGATAGAGGGATCCTTTAATCGTGACTTTGGAAGTCAAAATTATGACTTAAAATTTCATAACTGTGACTTTAAATCTCATAATTATGACTTTTCAATTGAAAACTATGTCATATGACAGTATTAAGACTGATAATCACAGAATTATGAAGTTATGCCTCATAATTATTATTCTATATCTTATCATTTTAATTTCAAAGTCTTAATTACGTGACTTAAAGTAATTGCTGTGAGATAATTTGTACCTAAGGACAAAATGATCACTTTGTATCTCATAAATGTGTATTCTTTCTCATAATCATGATTTGTTCAAGTAAAAATGAGGACTTTTTATCTTGAAATCATGAATTTAAAAATAAAAAATATGAACTTGTATTGCACAATTATGGCTTTAAATGCTATATTTTAAAAATTTGATCATAACCATGAATTTGAAAGCAAAAAGTATCACTTTATATCTCATAATTCTGACTTTATATTTTATAATGGCGGCTTTGGAAATCAAAATTATGACCCCATATCTCATAATTGTGACTTTACATCATTTTATCATGAATTTGGAAGTCAAAATTATTACTTAATATTTCATAACTCTGACTTTATTTCTCCTAATTATGACTGTATCTTTTAACTATGGTTTTGAAAGTTAAAATTATGACCTTACATCTTGTAATTTTGACTTTATATCGCATAATCAAGACTTTGCAAGTCAAACCTCTGACTGCCACAGATATGTGGCAGGTAATGTGTGGTTTATTGAATGGTTTCATCTGTCCCTGTGCTTACATACCTAGAGTTTGACCTGAACTCTGTGCCTCTTGGTCCTTAAAGTCGTAGGGAAAACCTGCTCCAACCGTTGCATTTTTGAATTCTCCCAAGTGGTGCATGACTTTACACGAGTGAATAAAGTGAATGTGATTTGCATGTGTCATTTATCAAGAGGGCAGGGTTGTTGTGCTAGGAGGGTTCGCAGGCATTTTGGTTGTGGCTGGTGTCTCGGAAGCATCTTGCTAACCAGTTAGCAACTTAGTGCTAGTAGGTTCCCAATGGGAAATTCCATTGGGACCAAGTAGCACTAAATTGGTGACTTAGAAACGACACTGACAAGGAACGCTATGGACAGAGGAAACATGCAAGAGGAGGAGAGTTTAGTGTCGGAGGTCGTGGATGAGTCTCCTCCGTCATACATTTTTTTATTTAGAGCAGGAAAGCGGGGATGAAGATGTTGTGGAAGAGGACGCCAGGGCGGCAGAAGCTTGGTTTGGTGTAGAAGGCTTACAGCCGTACATGTTTGAGCCCTTGCCTCACAACGCTGCCAGTTCTGTTAGCTCTACGCCTGCTGAAGACACAGACGTCCATCCCCGTGAACACTGAGACGGAACTCAGTGGGAAAGGAAATGTTTCTGATTTCAACCGTTGTGTATATTAGCTGCGACATACGAATCAAATGCTTTGACAGAAAAAATTTGATTTACAGATGACCATCGAAAATGTGATTGGCCGAATTTAGGTGTACAGGCTGACGTATAACTAACTGGCCTGCATAAGATAATGAGAAAAAGACAACATCGATTTTAAGACAGGATATTTTTAAAATTAGAAATTTTCAAAAAATTTTGGAAAATATCAACTGATAAAGAGTATATTTACATACACGTTGAAGCCAGACTTGACATTTAAATATGATTTCCCTACGAGTTCTGGTTGATTTTGGCTCCCCCAGTGGATAAAAGCGGTATTGTGTTGCCTGAAAGAACACATTATTTCCTGAGAGGAACAGAGCATTTTTTGGTAAAATCCTGATCTGCATGTCACCTGCAGCTGGATTGAACCACATTTCTGTTTCCAGTCGCTGTGTGAAAGACGAATAGCAATGAAGTAATAATTCTAATTGTGGCAAAATGATGTTTGCACAAATAAACAGTCTCTCAGGAAAACGTAGTCTTCCATTTTTATAACGAATGGGGAAAGGACTAAGTGACTTACACTGTAAATTAATCTCCACATTTGTAGTTGTTTTGAGTGGCAGGGTTACTGCCACCCTGCCCAAATGGCCCAATGTCTTTTCCCTAAGCGTGGCCCACCTGTCTAATTATTTCATACACATAAAGAGGGTGGTATGCAGAGAGCTACAGCTCCATACTGCTTCTCTATGGAGCATGGTACCTTGTTCCTGTTACCACACTATGGACCTTTTTAGTTTGTTTGATCTACACGTCCATTCATTGCTCACTGATTCCTTCTTACACACAGTGACGGATCTAGAAAATGGAATCACAAAATGTCTAGAGTTGCAAAAAATAACTATTTATTTAAATACATTAGAAATGTAATTGGAATAAACAAAACACACAAAAAAAATTACATGTTTCTGCCAAAAGTTCCAACGCATAATAAAGAATATACAGAGGGTTATTTAAAACACACATAAACTACTCCTCATGTACATTTTCAGGTTAATAGCTATTCTTTTTAAGAGTAGAATTCCGAAGTCATGTCCAACAGCCACCTCTGTCATCAACTGACAAATGAAACACAATGCTAGGAACTAATAAAAAATTTGCCGATTTGATATGTCTATTTCTTCGTTCAATTATAAACAAGATTACAAGCCTC